AAGATGCTCCTCCTTAGTTGTGCAAATTCTCTTTTTTCTATAGTAGGGAACACATATGAATAATTTGTTTGTGATTCTTTACTTGGACAGGCGTGAGTTCATGTGTAGTCAAGTAATTTAAATCAAAGGTTTACAGCCTTATTTAAATATTCTAAGTTGGTCTTAAAATGATAAAAGAATGCCACTGTCAATATAAGATTACCTCATTATGAGGCATTGACAGGTTTAATCCCATATCAGCAGTATATTCCGAGAAGGGCATTATACCAGAATGCTGTCAAGGTATTTTGCCCTGTGTTCTTCTGTTGGCTGTCTTTGTACTGTGTCCTTATTTGCTGTTCTGCGTTTCTTGGTTCCTTGGAATGTCTCTTAACCCTCTTACTGTATGTTTGCGGACATTGTGCATATCCCCTCAAGTGTGTGTGTGTCTTATTCCTTTGTCTCAGTATGGTCATGGTAGAATTTTGGAGTGCATGATTGCAGGTCGGCTGCTGGTCATATGTAGAACCTTAACTCTTTTCCTGTATCTCCCAAGCCTGACTTATATGGCAGTCCCTGCTATATTTATGCATTCTGGTATCTACACAATACACTTGTCTAAGTCCAAATGTAATTTGGCACCGGCAACAATACAGTGTACTCCATCACCAAGACAGCACCATTTGTGTCCCCCTGAGGTTGACTTGGTCCTCCTGTCTAAATGCTCCAGCTATCCATCCTACCGTGAAACATTTTCCATTTGGCAGAAGCAGTTTGGACCCAAGTCTGTTCCCAAAGATCACATTGCTCCAAGACTGCACAGCCATTTAATATCCTACTACTCTTTGTTTTACATTACTTAATCATGGATGCTGAGTGTCACAAGGCAGGATGTTTATCCAAGGTGTCTTACCTGCATCCTTGTTAGTCCAGGATTTAGCTGTGTGAACACAGTGAAGCCTAAGCTGGTTTTGTGAGTTTATGACACCTCTCCTCGATACCTTTCTTACTGATACACAAGGTAGAAAAAACTTTGTGAGCAACCTAATGAAAAGGACTTAAAATCTGCAGTGGCTTTATCACAGTTCTAAACATTGTTTCCAAAGTCACTCATAGCAGCTCAATAGCAGCTTCCCATTTTTCCTGTCTGTATCTCTACTATTAATAAATAATAAATTAATAAAGCCAAAATCCCACCCAAACATTTATCAAAAAATGGATAACCATTGAACATTTCTAGGAAATAAACAAAAATTTATGGCAGCATACGCTATACCACACAGACAACTTGCATGTGAAAGAGTAACAGTGGTCCTCAGTTAAAAGAACCTGGAAAGGGCTGGAATTTAGAGTAGGGATCATGCTGAACTGTAAGCAGCCTAATGTAGCTTGTGAAGCAATTTCCGTATTTGTAGATTGATTGATTTATACCACCCTATAGAGAGAAGTGGAATCCAGTTAAATACGGGAACAGCACATCAAATCGACGTTATATATGCGTGGAAGCACAACTGATGGGTGCACACATAAAAATGCTTTCCTGTCGCTTCAACCCATCTCCTTGTCTTCCCTCCAGTTCTCCACCTGCCTGCGTTTTGGTGCTGAGCTTGTTTATGGAGAGATCTCCAGCTCACCGCATCACTCAGCTGTGGGCCACATTCATTTGCCATTGCTGGATTGTTGTCTTGGTAACAACAGGAGACACTTTCCATAATGGACTCAAACAGTCACTATGGAAACAAAGTTTTCGATTTGCTATTAATAATCCACCACCGGGTGCATATGTGTGCATTGTGCAAGGGATAAACTTTGCTTTCTTTTTTTTTTTTTTACTGAAAAACACAAAAAAGGACACATACACACAATTTTCTATAATGTTCTCATGTTTCTGGAGCTACCTTCACTCATACTATGACTATGAATGACAAGAACTGGAAAGTACTAAGGTTTACCTCACCATGAAATCAAGCCTGTTGATATATGTGCCCTGAACTCACAAAAAGTTCAATTATTAAAAATAGAATAATGTTTGACATGCTAAGAAAAGAATACGAAAATGTTTGTGACTCACCACTTGTTAGTGTCTCTTTATTCCCAGCTGTGGCCACATGTTTTTATAATCAAAACAGCTGGGAATTAAGCACTTTCACTGCGATCAACTCAAATCCTCTTTTCTATTTCTGTTACTTATGTTAATCTACCCCACCCCCACCCCCTCGTGTGTTTATGTCTGTCCAAACCGGCCCAAAACCACACGCCATACTGTCAGAAATCCTGCAAAGCTCCATATTGGCTCCTCATCCCTATCACCTGCTCTCTAACTGTTGTCCTGGTGTCACACTGTGCTCGCTGTGGAACAGAGATCCCAGCGTGTCCTGTCGTCCTTTCATTTTCAAGGATGAGGACACACAACTACACATAAGACAGAACCATTGATCCTCTTCAGAGTTAATTATAGTGAAATTGTTGGTAGCACTAAAACACTTGTGTACAATTATCTGCAGTACCAGAAATAGCTTTTTGGCTTTCCACATTTAAAAAGGGGATCTCATTAAATTCCTCCCAGTACACACATACTGTA